GCTGGGTATTTCTTTTATACGAAAACATTCCATGTTGTACGTTAGAAATAATATTTTTTTTTTCTTGAAACTATTGCAATGATGAACACTCTTGTACCTAAATACATAAAATTAACTTTTTTGTCATTTCGAAGACTCTATCTACTGTAAAATGGGGTTACTTTGACCGGCGTGGTAACTTTGACCACTTTTCGTTTTTTTAATTAAAAACCCCCAAAACTCAAAAACGATTTGACATAGAAAAATTTTGTCAATGGCCATCAAAGGCCTAATACTGAGGCTACGTAACACAATAGAAAGATTTAAAAAGTTTGCATATCTAATAGGTTAAAAAATTAATAATGTGACCCACGAAAAAGAGCTATTATTTAAAGCCTGTCAGAGTACCCCCTCCAATTTTTTTATTTTTTGGTAAAATAAATCCAGGTTTTGATGCATTGTAGTAGAACTTTTCTAGTTAAATATGCAAAAGACAAATTTTAAGAAAGTGTCATAGTTTGCAAATGAGGGGCACCGCCCCCCAATGGGGGAACTTTGACCACCTGATGGCAGCCGTGATGGGGTAAAATTGACCGGCTTGGAAATTTAGTTAAGATTACCATAGTTACCTATATAACATATTTTATGTTTGATACACCTATTAATGTTTTTTCTATGTGTTTCAGACTCTACAGAGTCTTATATATGGTAATTTTAACTTAATTTCCAAACCGGTCTATGTTACCCCGTCAGGGCTGCCATCAGATGGTCACATTTTGCCAATTGGGCGGCGGCGGCGGGGCCCCCCATTTGCAAACTATGACACTTTCCTAAAATCTATCTCTTGCATATGTAACTAGAAGAATTCTACTACAATGCACCACAACCTGGAGTTATTTGGAGTTATTTTACCAAAAAATAATTGATTTTACCACCCGGTCCAAGTTACCCCAAGAGCTGGGGTAACAAAGACCATCACTTTTTTTGAAATTCTGAAAGCGGTACTGATAGTAAACACCTAAGTTCTGGTAAAATCTAATTTTTATCAATGGTACATGCCCAAGTTCTCAATATCCTGCCTCTCTGATAGATCAAAATAAAGTAGTTCTCACTTCTAAACAACCAACATTCTCTAAAAGACAAACAGGTTTAAAAACTCATGATGGGATGGGAGAGAAAATTATTCAGGAGTCCTGTTTTTTTACAGTGTTATCTGAAGTGAAGTTAGTACAATATCAAGACAATATCAACAAAATTGTGCTCAACCATGAGAAAATTCTTATCTGGCTGCTAATAATGAGGTGTTCACATTTTGAAACAACTGTCCGTCATTTAAATTTTAGTGTGGATCATGTCTATTTATTGTAAAATTGAATTTGACATTGCCCAAGCACAAACAGTGAACATCCCCAGTTGTTCACTATCATTAACTTGGTCATATGCCACAAAAGCATTAAAGATTATCTTATCATTTTGTGTGATATTCAAAACTTTTCTTGTGTTGTCAAAATGATAATTTTTAATTGTTTTTAGAATATATTCATTGTAATAATTGTTCATGTGAAGATAAATGACTAGTGAAGAGCATCAAGAATGGTGTCATTGAGAACAACATGCAGTCTGTAAGTCGCGCGATGTCAGAAGAGCAGCAGCCTTGCACAAGCTCAGTGTATTACTCAGCATTGGGGTGCTAAGTGTAATGTGGTATGCCTTCTGATCCATTTTGTTGTATAATCTTGAGAATATATTGCCTATTCAGAATTCCACACTGTGTTGCAATGACTATTTGGAATATAAAGCAGTTCTCTAAAATGGCGGGCCCAAATGCTCATTTCTTGGGTGACTTTGGGAGTAGATGATTGCATCTTAACATGGCTTCAGCCGTTGCTGCTCCATATGAATGTATATGCAGTCAATAATGTGCATATTTGCATGAGGCAATTTTAGGCTCATTTCTAACTGTGCAGCTTAGCATCCATGTTGAAACTTACTTTGGGGCAGAGTGCAGTTTTTTCTCCATGTTAGTTGATATTTGAGGCACCATGTTAGTTGATTGCTTGTATAGCCCCAGTGCTTGGTAAAGAAATTTATTCCTATGCATGGGTTACATCTTGCCTGAGAATCTTTCCATGCCAAAGACTGAGATGAAGTCATAATCCCTGTTGCTATTTGCAGAACAAATGCAAGACAGCTATTTAATAATATTTTCAATGATTTCAATCAAACTTTTTGCTTCTATATAAAATTCTGTTATATGGAAGAGGAAAACCAATTCTGCATTTTTGTCCATGTAACTGTTGTCAGTTTGGGAGCATGTCTGCTAACTGTAGCCATGTTCCAAAACATCTTGGAGTTCTACCATGTCCCAGAATAATCTAGGTACCTATGCAGACAGCTTGTGCTAATGCTAAGTATGCAATATCATACTTTAGGTTCATTTAAATGGCATTTAAAGTGGAGAGTTTGAATGGAAGGTGCTGGTCAAGATGCTGCTATACTGTTAAAAAAACTCTCACCAGCGTTCTAGTGGCTGGCTGCCATGTAAAAATAAACCGTTTATATGTTTTTTTTTTCAGATGTTCTTCTGCTTTCTACTGGTAAATTTGAATGAAAACAGCTGCCAGAAAGTGTTTCTTTTCACATGTCGGCCAGTCACTAGAGCTTCAGTGTGACCGTTTAACGGTGATTGTTTGTACAGTGTAAAGCCCTTCTAGTGACTGCCCAGCTGACCCACGCCCCTGTTGACAGACCCACGCCCCTGTTGACAGACCCATGCCCCTGTTGACAGACCCACGCCCCTGTTGACAGACCCACGCCCCTGTTGACAGACCCACGCCCCTGTTGACAGACCCACGCCCCTGTTGACAGACCCTCGCCCCTGTTGACAGACCCACTTACCAACCCTGGTGATTGAGCTTCTGGGCCAAGCATTGCACATTTATAGTGCCCGGCGCATTTATAGTTACCACCCGGAATTTCGCTTCCAGAGTGGCCACACTAGACGCGTTCAGGCAGTAGCTACGTCAAGCGAACAGACGCTGCGCAGCGCCGTGAAAAAAAACATATAACTTTAGACAAATATTTCGAAGCTGCCTTCAATTTTTGAAAATTTGAAGCTGCCTTCACGGCTACTTCAATTTTTGAAGCGTGGCTCTCGTCAATTCAGGCGAGGAGTGCACAGCACCGCAGATATACTTATACTCTATAAATGAACGCAAAATAAAGAAGGAAAATAAAAAAACGGGTTAATTTGGTTTACTTCTTATATTAAATAATTGCACATGCGCTCGAAGTCTATCTGTATTAAGGTTGGACTCGCGACGTATGCATCATAGATATCCTATCAAAGTATCTCTCTAATCTCTTCCGAATGGATTCAAAAAAGGATAAAACAAAGTATATATGTAATTTTTACATTTATCTTTCATTTCACAACAAAACATATGGGATTTTTATATTTATCTTATATCTCGCTATAAGACTTCAATCACGGAGTACGGCTGTTAGTCTCTTGCTGACACTCAATTATACACTAACGCGCCGTGAGCTGCGCGGTCCCGGTGCTAGTGCGGCCACTACGCGCGCGTCAGCCTGCGTACGCGTCAGCGCTTCTAGTC